CACCTGACCTGATTGAGCTTGGGCCAAGCTCTGCACAATGGGGGAGGGACTGCACAGCAAAGTTCATTGTTTAAGCCAATGCCCTAATTATGAGCCAAGGTTGCAGCTCTTGTTTAATTGATCAATAATTCTACGATGGATCAGATACCAGCACTAATTCCACATACAAGAGAATAATTTAAAATATCTGTATGCATTTCAATGCCTAAGATACATAAGAAGTTCTAAAGTAGTCTCTTGTGGAATCCTGTGACCTTTAATGCTTTCTCAGACACATGCTGTGTAGAACACTGCATCACTGGCCTTTAAGCATCAGATCTACTGTCACAGTGACAGATAAATGAAAGTGATAAGGCAATAGCCAGAAAGACACTTCACATTTTATATATTTTAAAATGTGAGCTTTCTAAGAAAGAGAAAAATCAGCAGTGCTTATGTGTTAGAAAAGGTTTGGCATATAAGACATGTCTCCCTCCAGCTGCTTCTACTTAATTCATCTGCCAAGCTGAGAAGTATCAGCCCTGGGTCTCTCCCCTTACACCCTGAGGCTGGCTGTGCAGCTTCGGCCACCACTGCCCTGACTGTGGCTAGCAGACAGCTAGCAGACACAGCCACATCCTGAGCAGCTGACATTTGCAAGGGATCTTGCTTTTCAAAGCAAAGCCATCTCTTTTGAAAGTCTCACCCTTCTGTGGTAGCTGAACAGCAATGTAGCATTTTGGGAAGGCAGCCAAGGGAGTGAAGGGAGACACCCAGGTCTTGGCAGGAGAGTTGTCCCAGCTCAGCTTGCACAGTCCAGAGCTGCTGGGGTGCCAGTGGGAGCCGGTGCCCACTGGAGACTTCTCAGAAACACTGCGGACGCGGGCGAGTAAGCGCCTCACACCAAGAGAAGACACCAATCATCGTTTCCTTCCTCTTTTCCAGAGACAGAAACAACCACCACCACCACACAGAGGCCCATGCCCCGCTGCTCCGCCCTCTATGAATCATAGCCAGGCTGAGAGGAGCAACGACAGAAATGCCCCTGCCAGCCTTGTGTAGGGCGGTTGTGAAAGACCTGAGACAGGCATGTCACTCATTCACTTCATAACCAGAAAGGCAGCAATAGCTATTCTTCTGTTTGCTAATAACTCACAGCTCATGCAAGGCTGTAGGCCAGCTCCCTGTGCTCAGGAAGGGAAGTGCCCCAGGGTTTAGTTCAGTGCTGTGAGACATCCCCCGTCCTCCCACCTCCAAATGCAGCAGCTGGAGCCCAGCTACCAGTACAACAGTGGCTGCAGAAGCCAGGCCCTGGCAATAACTTGGATACTGACACTGATTTTAGAAATGGCACACAAAATGTGTTACTGCAAGCCCACCTGCAAGTGACAGAAGTAGAGTAGGGCAATTGCCTATGATTCAGGTAAGAGGAGTCCCTTGGAGCATCTCTTCTGTCCTGCTGAATACACAGGGCAGCTTCGTGGTGATGCTCTTCTGGCTCATCAGTGACACGGACCCCGCTGACACACGGAGGCTGCAGTGTCACATCAAAAAGCAGCGAGAGGTCCAGGCCAGTGGAAAGACCACCACAGCTGTAGTTAAGCAGCTATATAACCACATAAACATCCAGATACACACAAAAGTTGTTTTCTCCCTGAATTTTGTTTTCAATTACTGGCTGCTCAGAGCACAAGGTGAAGGGCATACAGGTCTGCTGTGAGGGGTACACATTGATAACTGGTCAGCTCTTACCATTGTGAAGGAAATCTCTGAGACAGAAAATACACTTCCTTATATTCAGGGACAAAAATTCATTATTGTCATTTCAGAGCAAGGGAGTTTGGCTAATCCAGTTGTGGTCATATCTGGCTTGTTTAAGAGGCTGAACTGACTTGTAATTAAGTTAAGGTAGTTATCTTGCTCACAAAGGCAAGAGCAGACAAGCATTCTGATGTTCTGAAATGCAGCTTTTTATTCTGTTTATATTAACTTGAGCTGTGTGCAACCAAAGCACTAGGAGAAAGTGCTAAAAAGACACAAATTGCACCATTTATTAGAAATTATTCTAGTGGCTGTATTCACTCAAATGCCATAGTAATACAGGAAAGGTTGAGATGTAAAGAATGTCGACATTTCTTTTTCCTTCATGTCTGATCCCTCTGGTGACTTCTTTTGTAATAGTGCCATATATAGAGTTCCTTAAACACATTTTCTTTATTAACAGAAGCATCAACTAGTTTGTGTCCACAGAATTTAGCGAACCCAGAGTACCCACAAAAATTTGCAAACTGTTAATTGCAAATATCAGGCAAAACAGTATCAATTATATCTAGCAAGATTGAATAATTTTCTGTATGAAAAATCGGGGGGGGCAAGAGTGATGATTTGAAACCTATTTTTACTATTTACTTGTAGAAAATATTTATATTGTGTGCTGCATATCAAGTGAGTTTAAAAGTCTGGGAAATCTGTATATAAAATAATCCTTTTTAAAAAGAAACCTTTTAACCTGTTTTAATAATAAACAAAAAGAAGATTAGCAACAGAACAAAAACTGAAAGGGATCCATTTGAGAAGATAGAAGGAGAATATTCGGGCAAGGTCTCTTCCCTCAGCTGAAAGCTTGACCCAGCTGAGGCAGGACTGCAATTTTTTTCTGTTTTGCTGTTTTTCAGAGCTAAAGAAGCTGAAATGCCACATGTGTAATTTTAATGTCTTTTAAATACCAGAGCCAGATTTTAACCTCTAAACAGTACCCAGGGACCCTGTTACCCAAGTAAACACAAGCAAAACCACCCTGGAAGGGTTTCACAGGAGACCTCAGCAGTCCCTTGTTGTGCAAGCCACAAACCCCAATATACCACTCGGCCAAATCTTCAGCTGAGTTCTGCTGTGTCTAGATTTCAGCCTCTGTTTTGGGGTTGCCACACTTTTTGAGCACATGGGTTCTATAGCTCAGGGAAAACCACATAATTACAGGCACTAAAATATATGTGCTTCACAGTTTGCTCCCAGTGAAAAGTGCCTTTTAGCTTTGAGAGTCTGAAAATAACCAGGCTGTGAAAATTTGAACTGTTTTTTTTTCACAGATCACAAAACCAAAACCCCCATTACTTTATATACTCTTTCCAAACTGATTTTAAAATTCAGCTGGCTTCCAGTGGCCTCACACTTTGCACTGGCTCTAAAATGCAAAATCAAGAGTATATCAAGCTATCCCTAAATTTCCTGTGTAGCCTGTACAGTCAGTCCAGGCATCTCAAAGAAGCCTATCCACCTGGCTTCACTGAATTGCAACAGACATAGATTTCTTTATTTTGTAACACACCATAACAAGTTTGGTGAAGCTAATATAGATGAGATGAGATTTTCAGTTACATCTTTGTCTGGCTTTGTCTGTGATAACAATTCTGTGGAGCCTTTTGGTGCCCGAATGTAGGACTTCGCAGTAGATACCACAACACAGCATTCTCACCTGGTGATTACTGCTCTTCAGCACATAAAAACTGCATGAACTGTTGTAAACAGACTTTAACCCACTGAGAAAAAAAAAAAAAAAAAGACAATTGAATAGAGCATTCTGGAAAAAATATGTCGTAAAAATAGTTGAAACTAGGTATTAAATCCATTAGTGGAGTAGGAAACATAACAAAAATGTCCCCAGTTGTAACAGATTCGAAAATTCATAACTCGACATTTTTCATGCAACCTTTAATGTTGAAACTGTAACAATGGCTACTTTTAAATTAGAGTTACAAAACCTAAGACTTCCAGTGGAGAGGTGTTGCAAGAGTTGACATGTAGAAGAATATTTCTCCCAAAAGCCAAAAGATTTTTAACTGAGGACAGCAAATACTTGAGCACTTGCATAACTCTACACAAGTACAATGCCATTCAGATTCTTTTACAAATATGTCAGTTTTAGTGTTTCAGTAACAAATCAACACTTGAGAAGAAAGAGAAGTAGGAAATAGAAGAATTCAGGGAAGATGGGTGGTGACAGAAGTCTCTGTCTTGGGTGCTCAGGTGCAAAAGTTTGTAAAGATTTCAGGCTGATATAAAAACCTCAGATGAGACCGGGATGTTTTTATGATCAGAAGTCTCCCTTACAATCAGGTTGATGAGCGGTAAATATTCAACAGTCGAGAAGCTGGCGGGACAATCACAACACCAGGTGTTCCATGTCCCACTGGTAATCAAGCTGCCCACCGTGCAAATACTCGCTCACCTACATCACAGGTGAGATAATCCCACTGTGCTATGTGCCACCTTTTATGGCACCATGCTGTAAGTCCCTCAAAGGTTAGTTCCTAGCTAGCTGAAGGACAGGAAAAGGGACAAAGAAAATCTTGCTGCACTAAGAAATTCTCTTGGGATGAGACAGATCTGCAAGACCTGAGAGGGGGTGCAGAACAGAGGGGACAGATAATATGAGGAGGAGGGGACTGCCACAATTCACAAGGAATGTACAGCACTGTGGCTTGAACCCACTTCATCTTCTAGAAGAGTTCTCTTACACGCCTGAAGTTTCCATTCCCTTAGCCTGCCTTTCTGTGCAGGAGGGTAACTTGGCCCCAGTACATACATCAGGATTTAGCTCCTAGACTTGACAGGCTCCCCAGGACGTAAAGCCTGTTTCAGTCTTACTTGGATATAACCTAGGCAATTATACTTTGCACACAAACTCAAAAAAAAAAAAGTAATTTAGCCATTCTAAAGGTACCCATTCAACCTTGCTACGTACTCAATCTTTTACTAATGTAGGTGACTGGTTCCACTAAAACCACTGCTTTGAAACAAAGTGTACTAAAAATATATGACAATGTAAGTGCTCATGAAAAAATATCTTCCATCTCTGGAGACTGAAATCTTTTGCCTCCAGAATTACAGCAGGGACAACAGAGGTGATGGTAGCACAGATTCATCCCTGTCAGCCCAAGCATATGTCTAAACCAACCCTGTCTGCAAGCCCTGAGGTTGTAAGACAGTGAAGGCTAGGAAGAATCAGATTAGTTTCCCACCTTTGACCACATTGTTGAGGAACAATATTAAGGTAACAAATCTCACAAAACTGCAGGAGACAGCTGTCAAATGTCACTAAGCTTTGATTACGCCTATGCTGGACATACTGATGACTGTTATGCAATGACTCAGGCATGTCTAAGGCTTGCCTGCAGACCATTTATTACATGGATAGGACAGTTCATTTCTGTGATTAGCTAAAGGGAGAACCTCCAAAACATTAAAACAAACTTTTGTGATTTTCAACAATATATCCAAAAGTCCTCTAAATAAAATACATATTGGTCAGGTTTTATATACTGCATTCTTACGTAAAAAGAAATATCCACAAGGACAGAGTTGGGGGCTGATCCAGGCAGAATTATGTCATTAAATAAATGCAGATGCAGACAAACCAACAACTGAGGAACACTGACAGAAACAAAACCAAATTCAGTACTGCTGTTATCTGCAGATCTGCAGGCTAGGCCTGCTACAGCTCAGGCTTGCAAAGTCCAAACACAGGCTTGTGAATAAGGGTATGCACCTTTCATTTTTCAAGATAGCACACGTGTTTTGGAGGGAAGAAGCTCAGATAAAGAGCACACCTGTCTCACAAGAGGCACCTGCACTGTGGTCCTGCCAGGAGCCCTCCTTTGATTCACCTCCCATTCTCTCTGCTGCAGCGTCTTTGTGAGAAAACAGATAGAACAAATGTGAACAAAACCACTGCTGACAGTCCTCAAAAGATCTTGCACTCATTAATGGAGAAGAGCTTCCGTCTGTTCTGCCTTTTGGCTTGATTGACCGCTGTCCGCACAGCACACTCAAACACCTGCTGCACTCCCCTGTTGCTGAGGGCAGAGCACTCCAAATAGCCTTTGGCTCGCACATCCTGGGCAAGCCGCTTTCCATCTACAGGGCTGATGCAGGAGGAGCTGTAGGGACCCATGTCACGCTGGTCAGTCTGAGTGGCCACCACCAAAACGGGGATGCGGGGCAAATGGCTGCGGATCTCGCTAATCCATTTGTTCCTCAGGTTCAGAAAGGAATTATGGTTTGCCACCGAGTAGCACATTAATACCACATCTGCCTGTTGGTAGGAGAGGGGGCGAATGCCTTTAAAGGCATCGCTGCCAGATGTGTCCCAAAGACCTAAGCTGATCTGTACGCCATCCATGAAGACATCCACTCCGGTATTTTCATAGACAGTGGGTCTGTAGTCATCTGGAAAAGTCTCAGAGGTGAAACGTACCAGGAGAGATGTTTTCCCAACTGCAGAGTCTCCCACCAGAACACACTTAACTGAATCCAGCATTTTAATAACGTCCAAAGCCAACAGTGCAGTCTCGGTGCAGCAGGAGCGGGGTGGAGAGATGCAGTGGTCTTAGAGGCTTTCTATATAATTTCCATTTAGTGAGAAACCACCCAAATCTCTTTACTTCTTATGACTTGATTCCGCCACTTGAGACTAAAATTTCGTTTTCTCCCACATGGCTCTGTCGGTTTTAAATCTTCAGTGAGTCAAATGATGTTTCTGGAAAGTAAAAATAAAATGTAACATTTATAACCTACAGGGAACAAACCATTCCTCATCAAGACAAAGATTCCTGGACACATCTTTGGACAGGCATGGCAAGTATCCCTCACTGAGGATGATGAACTTTTCCATTTCCTCCCAGCCAGCTGTGTGTGCAACAGCCATTCACATAAATAACCTTCTTGCTGCTCCACGGGGGCTAACAGCCTTAGCACTATTATCATTTTCCACTAACACAAGATATTTTTTTCCTTCCAATTGTCTAGAGACTATTAAAATTAATTTAACTTTGATATAACTGCTACTAATATGCTGTGAGACATTCCCTGCCTCTGACTTTCACCAAGACTGTCAGAATCCTGAATCCCTAAATGATCAGTTCAGATTCCCTTGAAAACGTAGCCACGCTCTCTAGAGATAGTCAGGAGAAAAAAAAAGCTCTTTGCTAACCAATTTGACTATTTAAACAATCCTATATGAAACAGTAACACAGAACCACTTGTGACATTGAGGAAGCAAAGACTTCAGGAGTGAATCTCAAGTCACATGAACCTGAACAATTTTTAAAAGCAAAGAAAGAGTCACAGCAAAAAAGAAAAAACCAAAAAGAGGTTATTTTTCTTACAAATTGCTTTCAACAATCAACAAGCACAAGCCAAAGAAAGCCCCACTACCGATGCTCGCCCCAGTAAAAATTTCATTTGAAGGGAATATAACTGTCCTGTCATTTATTCTCTTGTAAAACTGAACTTAGAGTACTCTTCAGAGTATGTAATTGCTTTTGAGCTCCTGCCAGCATTCAGTCAAATTTTCCTATTTTGAAAGCATTTGTTTCTTCCCCACTAACTGTGTGCAAGATTCACTGCTCACATAGGGTGACACACAAGATGCTCCGAAAATCACTAACAGCAAAACTGAACACAAATTAGTTCTGATGAACAAGAGTAATTAAAAAGAAAGTATCACTGCATAATTTCAAAATGTCATGTGTTTGTTACATAAATAATATATTTCTGTTTCCTTCATACATGTAGAGAGACATCACAGCTGAAGGCTATTTGCACAGAAATAAATGATGGCCACAAAGGGCATATGCTGTATTTTACTGTAACAATCTCCACTTTCAGTACCCTAACACACCACCCCCTCCCCCTTTATTTCTAGAACACTCCAAGCTTTGGCTTACTCCACAAAGAGGGGAAAACAAAGGAAAAGTGCTAGATGAGCTTAGAGAGAACATTTTACAGGTACCGACAACTGCTATTGGCCCTGCTTTCATTTTGTGCGGAGGCCATGCCCTACCTCCTCTGGTGCTGCTGGCACACCTGCATCTCTCGCACCAGACGGCCGGGGAAGGAAGGTGTGTGGCCGGAGCACGTCGCTTTACAGAGGTGGCACAGCTCTGCGGGCTGGCGCCGTGCGCGCCCGAGTTACGGTATCCACAGGAGTCATTGCAACACACGGCGCTTCCTGGCCGGCCGGCGGCGCCGCGCCCGCAGCGCTGCCGCTCGCTTCTAGGAAGCGGGATGCAGGCTCAGGCTGCTTCACGGCATTCCTGGCTGCCGGGAAACACGCTGCCCTGGGAATTTAAGTTTTAGTGGCAGCAGATGAAAATTTGCTTTTAAAGATTCATTAGGTCTAACTCCACTCTCTCGCCTTCTCTGTTCTCCAAACAAGCTCTCAAGGGAACTAAACAAGACCTTTACAAAACGCATCTATGAAAAATTCAAAAAGCATATGTAGGATAAACCTGCAAATTGCTTATATGAATCATAATCTCTCTTTCAGAGTATTCTATTTCAAAATTGGGTGAGCAAAATAGTTTGAAAACACCTCAATTTCAACACAAGACAGTAGCATCTTATTCAGACAAAGCTGCATATTCTCAGGACAAAGTTTCCATGCACCAAGTGTCCTTTTCAGAACAAACATTTCTTTGGTGTGAGTAGTCTTCAGTGCCTTCAGGTTCATTATTTTGTGCACATTGGAATGTGGGGAAAAATAAGGATGTCCAAAGCATGACTTTTGTAATTTCATAAATGCCAAAACAGGGAAAGACTGATAAAAGGATTGTTCTGGCACTCAACTTGTTGATTACCAGGTCAAATTATGCTGGTTATTTTGAAAGAAACTATAAAAATTATTAAAGATTGAAAGAGATATTAAGGACTAATGAATATGGCTAGTTGACAGATAATAACAGAAGCTAAAATATTCCATTGTGACAGCGCAGAATTGTTTTCAAAGCAAATATTGTTCTCCATTCCACCAGTGAATAAAACCCCTGGTATATAACAAGGTCCATATTGTGATCCTATGGACAAATCGCCCTCAACGGCCCTGATCTTGCATTTGTTCACAACAATTCATATATAATCAGAACTATATATGTGCATATTGAAACATTATCTTTAATTAAGCACCTAGCTGGTCCTTGTTGCAGCCTGAGGGTAAGAGCAGCATTAGTGTATTAAAATAATTACACAAGTTCACCTCACTGGATGGAAAAAGTTTGATTAAACATCAACAAAAAGCAGTGTCCTTTAAAGAACAGTACTTCAAAGTGTCCTTTAAAGACAGTTCTGGGCACTTCTATGCCTCAGTATAGAACCAGTTTTATAAATATCTGCAAAAGTTTTTGTCCCTTTCTCTCGTATTCTGTCTTGGTCCAACAGTGTGCTACAACCATTAAAAGATTGCAAAAAAACCTCTGATCACAAATCAGAAACAGAGTCTAAGCTGCTGAGGCTATTTTTCCCTCCAACAATATGATTTTCGAAAATTTACCGACTTATTACTGAATTTTTTATATGGAATTCAATATATAAACCTGTATCTTCTTTTACGCTTTTCTCAGTTTATGCTTTCATCACTCATAACAACAGAAGATACTGGAATAGAAAGGTAAGACCTTTTATAAAATCACTAGGTATAAGAATGCATGTCATTCTTGTGTGGTCATGCTGAGCAGTGTTCTTTAGTAAACTCCAGGTTTTGTTCCCTCTGTCTTTGGAATATAGGCACTAGTGTGTGGTTACAGAGATCTCGGACTTCACTGATGATGTGAGCACAAGAAGCCCCACAACAGTCGCTCCTTGGCAGTGTCTGACCTGCACCTCAGCAATCTCACGCAGGTAAAATACCTCACACTTGATCATGGATGAATATGATATGGAGAAGGTGAGTGGGGATGCCAACCCGCAATGGGATGGGATGAAAAGCAGAGCACAGCAGCACTGAGCTCTTTGCAGGTAGAGGATTCAAGTGAATATACATCCCCTGAAAAACTAATCTGGTATTTGTTGAAAGAGCTCTACCAACAAAGGAAAGCAGGACTACTGTATCAAAAGGAGTAAGTTTATCAGCTGAACCAAATGGGATTTTCATTTATGCCAAGAATATCTCTGGCATCCACTATAAGATCATTGTGAGCATGACTCGCTATGGCTAAACATCTCCAGGGGATGGACAGCATTTTATTATAGAGGCAAATAAAAACAGTCAGGAAGTTCCAATTTCAAAACCTGTCTTAGATACTGATAGTGCACATTCAGGTAGGCTGGAATTCCAATGCAATTAGCTCATACATAAACAAACCATGCAGGCAAACAACCAGTTTTTTAGATCAGTCACAAAATGCTTCAGAGAATTTAAGCAGTTAAAACGCTAACTATTATTGCCATTATCCACTCCCTACCTCAATTACATATCAGAAGTGTTCCCGTTTATGTCAGGATAACAGCAGATTAATTTTTCAGTTTGAGCACTGTGTATGCTAGTTCTTGAAGAGACTTGACATGACAAGGAAATTCAAATATTTAGACTAATAGAAGAGGTTGAAACCACTAGAGATACTTCCACTAGCTATGCAATGCTTGAATATACATATTGCCTTTGCCTACCTACCCTACTCTTCTAAATCCCACTTCACACAGAGGTGGGGTCTGCAAAACAGGGATTACAGTTCTTCCCCAGTGTGCTGACTGTAACCACTGCCCTTTGCAATTGCACCACAGATATGTAAGAACTCTCCTCACACCCCTTAGCTAAATGCCCTCGAGGAGAGGAAGGAGGCACAGACTGTCCCCACTGACCAGAAGAGTGTACAGCTTTACACCTTCACCTCCATGGGCCCAGTGGGCATTGCAGGGCATGGACAGGGGGTGAGAACAACTCCTGCAAGCAAAAGGAGAGGGAGGAGGAGGAGGAAGTCTGGCAGGAATCAACATAGGGCAGAGACGCTGTTGCCTGGTTAATGCCAGCACGCAGAAGATGCAGCCCCTGTGACACAGAAACTGTGGCTGCTGTGACTCTGGTCTGGACGCTCTGCTAGATCACCAGGTTGTCAAGGTCACACTACCTGGTTTTCAGCTCTGTGAATAAGGTGTACTTGCTCCATTCAGATACAAACCTCCAGACTGCTTCCACAGCATAGGTCTCCTGAAAACATCCATCAGCTGCAGTCCACCTGGAGACTGCAAGCAAACAGCTCCTTGCTGCACCTGTCATGCATTCACTCAGCTGATTCTCTGACATCTGCATTAGCTGCCTCCTGTTTTCTTAACTCCTTTCAAGACAATTTTGATCTATAGCCCTGTCTTGCCAATCAGCCTCCCTCCACCTCACAGCCTATACCTTTGCAAGGTGCTGCATCTTTTCCTCAAATTACTCCACCAAAAAAATCTCCATTCAGCTCATTCACTGCCTAAGCTGGCTAGCACAGGAGTCACTGCTATTCTCTGGCCCAAGAGCAAGGTGGCAGGTTACTTACTCATTGGCAGAGTAATTCAGCTGTCTGATAGATATGTAATACTGACAGATTAATTGCCAGATTATCTTTCAAGGTGCTTTTATATTTTAAAGAATTGAAAGGATGCTTAGAAGCTTGGATGAGAGCTTTTATACAGATATTTTACCCTTAAGTACAATAATTTCCTCAATGCCTTTCTAAAGTTAGAAAACCAAGCAACATGCAATGACCCCATCTTTTCAAAGCC